CTGCTGCTGCTGCTGCTGCTGCTGTTGCTGCTGCTGCTGCTGCTGCTGCTGCTGCTGCTGCTGCTGCAGATATACTCAAAGGGTAGCCCCGAGAGTTTGCTGCCTCTATGTGAAAGAAAATCGATCCCGCAAGGAACAGAAACACGCATCAACTCTTTTGCTGCTGCAGGATATAGGTGCTGCTGCTGCTGCTGTTGCTGCTTCTGCTGTTGCTGCCGCTGTTGCTGCTGCTGCTGCTGCTGCTGCTGCTGCTGTTTCTGCTTCTGCTGCTGCAGGATATATATAGGTGCTGCTGCTGCTGCTGCTGCTGCTGCTGTTGATGCTGCAGGATATAGGTGCTGCTGCTGCTGCTGCCGCTGCTGCTGTTTCTGCTGCTGCTGTTTCTGGTGTTGCTGCTGCAGAATATAGGTGCTGCTGCTGCTGTTGCGGTTGGTGCTGCAGTTGCTGCTGCACTTGGTGCTGCTGCTGCTGCTGGAGATGCTGCTTCCTTTCTCCTTTTACTGTTCTTTATGCTGCTATTCCTTGTGCTGCTGCTGCTGCTGCTGCTGCTGCTGCTGCTGTTTGTGTTTCTGCTGCCGCCTATTCCCCCTCTACCCCTGTCCCTCCTGCTGCTGCTACTGCTGCTGCTGCTGCTGGTGCTGCTGCTGCTGCTGGTGTTTGTGTAGGGTACTAGCAGCAGCTTGGCGGCCGGTGGAGGCTTCGGAGGTGCTGCGGTGTATCGACAGAAGAGCAGCAGAAGCAAACTTAATATTTTTAGGTTTATTTATATTTATAAATAAAATAAAAAAAGAAACAAAAAAAACAATAAAAACACTCAAAGAAGCAAATATAGATATACGCATACTCACGGGGGATTCGCCGCACACAGCCATCGGTGTTGCTGCTGAGTGCGGCATACTGGAGCAGCAGCAGCAGCAGCAGCACAGCAGCAGCAGCAGCAGCAGCAGTGATAGTTGCTGCTGCAGCAGCAAATACACACTCATACAACAAAGTATAGAACAGCCAGCTGATGAGGAAACAAACAATATATATATACAGCAGCAGCAGCAGCAGCAGCAGCAGCAGCAGCAGCAGCAGCCGCAGCAGCAGCAGCAGCAGCAGCAGCAGATGGTGGAGCAGTGTCTTCGAGCTCAACAGCCTCTGCGCATTCCGTCAACACATCAGTAAATATCTCAATGCTGCTGCTGCTGCTGCTGCGGCTGCTGCTGCTGCTGCTGCTGCTGCTGCTGTTGCTGTTGCATCTTCTTTCTGTCTGCTGTTGCTACTGCTGTTTCTTCGTCCTTCCCTGCTGCTACTGCTGCTGCTGCTGCTGCTACTTCTGTTATTACTTCTACCTACTGCTACTGCTGCTGCTGCTGCTGCTGCTGCTGCTGCTGCTGCTGCTGCTGCTGCTGCAGCGCGCTGATTCTGGGTGATGTATACTCAAGACACGAAGAAGCAGTCGGCAGAAGAGAGTTTCTGGTTTGGTCTTTGCTGCTGCTGCCGCGGCGATCGCAGCAGCAGCAGCAGCAGCAGCAGCAGCAGGAGCAGCAGGAGGGGGAGCAGCAGCAGCAGGAGCAGCAGCAGCAGGAAGGAGAAGCAGCAATGCAGCCGCTGCTGTCGATGGATATTCGTGTGCTGCTGTCTTTGCTGTCTGATGTAAGACAAAGCGTGCTCGTGCTTACAGGTATTTTTTTTTTTTTTTTTTTTTTTTTTTTTTTTTTTTTTTTTTTTTTTTTTTTTTTTTTTTTT